ATCGATGACCTCATTTTAGCAAATGCGCATTTGAGCGTATCTCGCTTATTCTTGGTCGATTTTCTTCCAACTTTGAGTATGTTATAGCTAAGTCAATTCTCTTACATATATGTACACTTTTTTACATTTCGATGACGTCATCATGGTCAAAATATAGGGTTTTGCTTACCCCCTTATCTTTCTTTAGTCAAACCTTTGATGACCCCATAATCACCTTAATCATTCGTGATTTCTGAATCATATTTAGTGGGCATAAACTTCAGGTCATGGTTAAATGTTATGTACATTATATTTTTGTGCGCGCGTAATAACGCGAGCGTTCGCATGCGTTAAATTTAAAATATGCTTTATATCAGGTCTTTTTTTAATCAGTTATAGCTCCTTAGGATGAAAGGTGACCCCCAATTTTTATTACATATTCTGAAAGCACATGAGCTGTAGATATGATTTTATATATCATAATAGCTGATCGGACGTTGTGACGTCATCATATTGCCATCTGAATTAAAAAACAAGAAAAAATTTATATTTCTTTTCTCTAAACGTTGATAACGTCAAATCATCTTAACCATTCGTCATTTCTGAACAATATTAAATGGGCTTATACTTCAGATCAAGTTTGAATGTTAGGTATCTTACTTTTTTGTTTGCGCATCTTAAAGTGCGCGTACGCGTGCGTCAAATATTACATATGCTAATAATAATGCCTATTTATAATCAAATATAGCTCCTTAGAATGAAAGGTGACCCCCAATTTTTATTACATATTCTAAAAGCACATGAGTTGTAGATATGATTTTATATATCATAATAACTGATTGGACATTGTGACGTCACCATATTGCCATCCTGAAGTAAAAAAACAGAATTTTTATAGGATAAATTCTATGAATGATCATTACTCCTTCACCAATAGGCGTTTGTCAATGAAAGTTGATACATATATATCTCATATCAAAAGACAACAGTGTTATTAAGATGCGCACATGCGTCATGACGTGCGCGTACGCTTGAGTAAATCTTTAAAAATGCTCAAAATTCTTTTTTAACAAACTAAATTATTGTTTTTTTCCATTATCGGCATTTAATTATTGTTCAATCCGCCGCGCGCACACTTCCTCGTAGGTCAAAGTGCGGCGGATCACCTAACTCATCCTCAGTGACGAGTTCAAATCTAGTTAATATTGTTTCCATAAAGAATTGTTGTATGATGGACATAATAAATTCAATATTACTATCATAATTATTAATTATTCTAGTACAGTATCATCATTATACATAGGGCCTTGTTATTGCTATAGCCTACAGTATATCATAAATACTATTATTTGTCGTTGTCGTCATGGCCGCCTCCATCATTAATAATCTGTAGTACAGTATAATTACGCATATAAGCCTACGGACACAATACAAAACAGACATACTTAATAAATGTCTAAGATTCAAAACCTACCAGTCTAAAAATATTCTAACTAAAATAGATCATCAAATTTTCGATCAAGCGAAGCAAATATCAATCTATAGTATTATTAATTTCAGATTGAGGGAAAAATAATTACTTTTACCAGACCCGTTGGAACCACACCGGCTTTGGCCAGACCACTTTTTATCAATTATATTACATTCTAAAATAAATACAGATGCAATCGGAGCATCACCGTACCGGCCGCACTAGTTTTGGTTGGACCACTTTTTCTCAATTCCATTGATTTTTAATAAATGCTATAGGCCTACTGATACTTACAATTTTTTTGAATTTACTATTAAATGTTCGCATCACTTTGTCTTTTGTACATGTACTTTTCAACTTTTTTTGAAAATCTTTAATTTTAGTAATTAAAACTGATTAATTTTGAAAATGTTTAGAGGTGTAAATATAAAACTACTTATTTTATGGCCTTGGAGCCATGATTACACTTCCACTAACTTTAAATCCTGTCTCTGCCCCTCTGTCTCTGCATTTTTTTTTATTTTTTAGAATATGATGCATGGAAAGTTTTACGAACCTATAGTCAATGAAGACTCCAAGCAAAGAAAAAATTGAAGAAAGGAGAGGTTAAGTTTGTTATTAATGGCATATCTGAATGCCTTATGCTTAAAGGAAGGAGGAAAACAAGAACTAGGTAGTTTGTTCCATAACGAAGAGGTGCGAGGTATGAATGAGGATGAGTGGGAAACTGCATGGGGTTGGAATAGGGGTAGCTGCTTTACAGTTTGCCAGCTGCTACTGGAACGAAATGCCATATTTTACAAATACTTTCACATCAGGCCCACCTTAGTCGGGCTGAGGTGGTACGTAGGCATTTATTATTCCAAGTAACTTTAAATGTTGTGTCTACCCAGGGTAGACTCTACAATTACCAGCTGCTACTTTTGGCATAGATGCAGTGGCGTAACTACCGATGGTTCAGTGAACCGGGACCCTTAACCACAGGGGCCCCATTACAAAATTCTCTGTTGGGGCATGGAGGTATAAAACCTCCATGGTTGGGGTTCATAGAAAATTATTTTATGGATTAGAATGGCTCAAAATGTTACCTTCAATTGGATTTGTAAAACTGTTATTCTCAGTCCAATGACATCATTGTATCGTCGGACGAGGGGTGGCGTGTCCATGTTTGTAAGGGAGTGGGATGCAATAAAATGAACAATTCCAGAGCGATACAAACCAGCGATATTTTGAGATTAAATATCAATTCCAAACATGCCATGGATATATAATGTGCTACAACAAAAACCACCAAATTTTTATCTGGGGTTTTTAGTCAATGGAATCAATCGGAGGATCGCTTTGCTTTCAAGAATTATTTTATTACTATTATAAGATTATACAGAAACCAAAAAAATTAGTCTATACCAAATCAAAGCTGCTGATTTTCCCCAGGGCTTCTGTCCCTTGCACGCAGACCGGGGCCCTTTCCCCTATTCCAGCAGCTTGTATTAACTTCACTTTATTAATCTGCAGCACTCAAACTATTTCACCACCTATGTCAACATCATCATTACCATCATCATCATCATCATCATCATCATCATAATACTTTATTTCATATTTTTTCTGGGCATTCGTGTAACCAAAGTTTTCACGGTAGGACCTCTGGAGGCCTGTAAAACCAACCACATTCTAACAATGTGCCCCTTACTTACACCTGTTCACAAAAAAATCTGGATCGCCCTTGAATCTTAGTGCTCTATTAGGTACTGTATGCCTTTCTCACCTGGTAGACCTAGATCTGTCGATGGAGGTATGTACAATATACCCACATGGGGTTTAACAGGGCCTAGTCCCAAAATGAAAACTTTTGACAATTCAAGTGATAGTACAACTTATCTAAAGGCGTGATAAATAATGCAAATGCTTCAGGCTAAATTTGGCAAACGGTACTGTAGGTGTAATTAAAATTGTATCAGCAGTATGTTTTTCAAATCTCTACGGTATTCATATTTGAAAACCTATTTCATAATGCATAGCATATTGCATCCTGCGAATACATAACACATGTTTTAATTAATTTCATATTGTTTATATTTCTTAATACCTTGCACATGTGGAACCAGACCAAAACCAGGCACTGTTATTCATTATTCATTATTTTATAATGTATTCGTGTTCATTGTACTTTATTTATTCATGGAATAATAAGCAACTCATGCAGTTATGGCACTGATAGAAATAAAATTTTGAACAGTTTATTATTTTCGCAATAGACTTAAATTCAATTTTGAATAGTTTATTATTTTCGCAATATTCACCTACATTTGTCCATGGTGGGGCTGGCGGGTTACGAATTCTCCCCACTAACTTTAAATCTTGTGTCTGTCAATGTACAGCAGGATTGGGAGGGCTGAGGTTTTACAGGTTCACAAATCGGTAGACATCGTGAAGTGATGACAAACATTAAGAATCAGCGGTGCGTAACCGACAGAAATAAGATAAGCTTTTGGGCTGATTTTCTGACTTCATGTTATTTAAAAAATCATAACTCCATAACAGGGTGTGTACCAGTAATACTCTGGACTAGCATTGCTTTAGTTACCCTACGAGAGTTTCCTGTGTTAAAAACATGATTTACTATACTATACTTCTTTATAAAACATAACTTGTACTTTATAATAAGAAAAATCTGTATATTATTGGTACCTGGAACAGTAACAACACGTAAGTGCTATGCTACTGCACTGTAATGCATAGGCCTATTTTAATACACTACTTAGATAGGCTTTTCTTTTTCCATCTTGATTTCAGAGGTCAAAAACATTGTTTTTTTCAATCATATAGTGGTGTAGACTAGTCTTTTAAGAACATTTTGCTGGAAAATTTTTTTGGATACGATGCCCCGTTTAAATAACATGATGTCAGAAAATCAGCTCCACAGGTTGTCAGCATCTATTTCCGGGCATTTAGAAATGAGGTTGTGCACTAACCATGTGTGGGGGGCTGGAGGTGATAATTATGCTCTCAGACCCCAACTTTAAAATATCTGTGGTTGGTGTAGCGGGTCAGTTTAAAAACAAAATCAAACCCCCTCCGCCAGCTCTTACTCTAAAGGCCGCTAACCACTTGCCTCACTGTGGTACTAGGCTAGGCCTACACTAGATGCTAGCTCCTTGACCGTACTGCGTAGTCGTAGGCCAGTGTAGTGCTAAGCCTAGCTAGAGCAGTCGGCCTAGGCCGCCCAGGCTTGGTTAAAAAAGTAGCCTAACCTAGGATACTCTAGCATAGGACTAGCTAGGCTAAGCCTAGCCTGTGCTTATTTATATCATTATGGCTTGACATGATTTTTTATATTAATATACATGCATAATATTTTTGGAACAAATTTAAAATCCATATCTTACATATACGTTATTATTTAATATTTGTCTATATTATTATTGATGTCATTATTGTCATCAAATTGCACAACGTTAGCAATTTACTGTCTAATCGATCGGCAGCACTTCAAGAATAAATTTCATTAAAAAGACCGTAACATTAATTACACTAGATATAATATACCGGTAAGTACTTGAAATAATTAATTTAATATAAATTTTTAATGCTCTTATTTTTTTCTCTTGGGTAGATACCTCAGTTGTATGCAGCAACTATATTAATAGAATTACTGCCAAATACAACACTTCCTTTTTTTTTTTTTTATAAAACCAGGGAACAGTGAAACTGTTCCCTGCTAAAGCTAATATGCACCATAGAAATAAAAAGCTACATATTCTGTAATATAATAGGTAGATATAGGCCTATAGTATGGAAAATCGAGTGTTTCGATTTGGACAAAAATGTGTATAATGACTGTGTCGTATTCCTACAGAATACCATTGTTATTCTGGTCATTACCTGGTCACTATTCCAGAAACTTGCAAGCAATATTCCCCATGTTAAAAGTGCAGTGCAAAGACAAAATGTTATTTATAATGAGTGCCCATGCAAGCAGTATTGCTTTGTGTAAAGTTGGCAACATAATTGAGTAACGCAGAAATCAGTCACTCTCTGGTAGTATATAGTACAATTTAACAGTCAATAAAGTGCATGCAACAAAGAACGAAGTAAATGTCCTAATTTGTCTGTCTGAACCCCAAATTCACCAGCATCTCAACATTTCAAAATAATTTTTATCCCAGCCTCATTTTGGTGCCTCCTCACATCGGCACCCGGGCTCTTACCACAATGAAACATTCCCACTTCAGCTGATCTTATTTTCAGATAGTGCTCTCACATTACTGATATTGCACCGCCGTATGGAAGACTCCGTTCGGAAAACATAGATGCTGCAAAGATCCATTGCCTTTCCACTACGTGCGCCTAAACTTTCGTGTTTGTGTTCTGATTGGTCAGATTTGGTATTGACTTGCCTCTGATATGCTCAAATGGGATCAACATCCAGTATGAAGCTTACATGTTGATGGTAATGATGACAAATATGATGATAATAATGAGAATGATGATAATGAGGAGGAGTTTGACCTGTTGTAAAGTGCAAAGAGTTACCAACGACATGCGCTCTTATTATTATGAAGATGATGATGATGGCGCTCGATGATGATGGAGAAGACACAAAGAGCCTTTACATTAGGCATCATTGTTTTTATATTCCGTTTTGTTAGTTTGCTGTCTACATTGTCCCTTTATATTTTACATCGGTTTCCCACTTCATATTCGGTTTGTCTGCACATGGCAACATTATCACGTGATTATCATTAGTGGTCGGTAAAGCGAGACATTTTCCAGTGGATTTATGAACAAGATGCATAGCCTGTGGAAGAAAAAAAAATCGTGTTTTCAGACATAAATTTACATTTTTACGTAACCGGCGCTTCATATGTGTAGTTAGGTGAACACCCCGTAAAGTTTGGAATCTACTGATTATTTAATTACTGTGAAAGTTAACATGTGAATGTGAGCAATTTGATTATAAAACGTTTTTTGTGGAGTAAAGTTGCTTTCAAATCATGAACAAATTATGTTAATCAATGATTTGAACAGGGCCTTATAAAAACAATTAAACAGCGTACCGTACTTGAATAAATGCATGGGGCGTTTATTGTTAAGAAGGGTTTTTGAGGGAGACGTTTATTTACTTTGGTGCAACGCAAATAAACGCCCTTTAATTTAACTGTAGGCCTATGTGGAAGTAAATCATAAAGTATTGATTTGATGAAAAAAAAAATAAACACCCCGAGCTTTTATTCCAAGTGAGGCTGTAGAGGGAACGCATATTCTAGGGGATGTTTATTCAAAGCGTGGCGTTTATTCGAATAAATTCGGTACTGTATAGTTAACAATGGTTTAGTTGCGTTTTGATTGCTGCACGGTAATATAGCCTAACCAGTAAATACACACCTCGTGTTGATATTCCCACTCTTGATTACCGCCCTTGTGATGACATTTCAGCATCAGTACCTTGGAATCTTGCCATGAGTAATCTAAACAGAGATCCTTCTGTATCAGTTCTGCATGTGACGTCAGCACAAACAGCTTTGGTGAAAATAATGAGAAATATAAAGTTAAAGGTAGGTTATTATTATTATTATTATTATTATTATTATTATTATTATTATTATTATTATTATTAATAATAATATTATTATTATTATTATTATTATTATTTCTTTATTTAAAAACGGTGAAAAGTAAAAGAAAATTTTTCTTCCTTGAGTGCGTGTACCAAACATTGATAGCAAAAATAGTAATTAAACTATACGCAATATTTCAATCTACAGTTTTACCGATAAAAAGTTATAACAACATATTATTCAAAGTACAATGTTGAAAAATACTAAATATTTACTTAGTTCAAATGGTACATTAAAATGATTTTCTTAAAATTACAGTATTGCTACCACAATGTTAACGATACAAATTTAAAACATCATATTCCGAAGCACATAAATGGACGAATGTTCTATTAAAGCAGTACATGAAAGCAATTTTCATTTTAGAAGACAAAAACATTAAGATTATTGAGAAACAAATTAAAATTCAGTAGGGCCATGTGTGGAGTTATGATACCAAAACGTTTAATTTTCTTACATACTGACTTCTCAGTCTAATACACTTTGCATTTTTGTCATATGCATACATGCTTGATATAATTTGGCCTATCATTATAAGAGAAACAGCATAGATCCTAAAATTGACCCTTGTGGTATGGTATTCCACACACACACACACACACACACTTTTTTTTAATTTAAAAATACGCCATTTATAAAAGTGACGCGATTACGAATCAGTATAATTTTGAAAGCATTTTAATCCATAATTATCGAACCGATGATATATAGGGTGAATCAACTTTGTATTGGTTTGTCCATCGGCACTATGCATGGACTGTGCAACATTATTAGGTTGGAAGAAGGTGGGGGTCGTAGAATCTACGTTTCCAAAGATGTTTAAGCAGTGGCGTCACGGAGTTTGTGGGGCCCTGACGGTGACAGTCATTGGGGGCCCTACTAAGCGAGCGAAGTGGGCGTTAAGTTTGCGATCGGAGCGAGCAAACAGACGCTGGGAGCTAGGAGCTCCGGTCGAGGTCCAGAGGGTGAAGGCCCTGGAAGTGGTCCGAGTTTATGGCATATTTTATAAACTGTTAACTGCGTTGTCAGAGAACATAGAATGGTCCATGACTGATGAAATATTTCAGACAATTTTATGACAAAACCAACATAGATTACATAGGCCAACTTGCGCCCCACCCCTATCAACGCCAAGCGTGGCGCCACTGAGTTTAAGCTCGCAGGACCTGGCTTTACATAATTGTAAACCAGAAAAACGTCCCTCCTGTTCACCTAATACCACGATTATTACTTATGGTCTACTTACCTGTGTAGGTTTTGGGAACACCTTGGCGCAACCCAGTCCAAAAACGGGATTTTTCGCCTTTAGCGATGCGCTATCAAGACACTTCTTCGTATGCATATTAAAGAACTAGAACAATGGAAAAGATAAACATGTTACAAAGAGAATGTCTCATCATGTTTGTCCCGGAATGTAGGCCTACATTTAGTACGGCGGAGGATACAACTGATAGACTTAAACCAAACTATTGCTTGGTTTCCATACAATCGCTACACGCTATTGCCGACAGTGTTTGGTAATGCTGATTGGTCGGTCGATCGATTCGGGGAGCATTCCCAATTGCGTCGGGGACTGCTCTCAGTACAACGAATTGCACTGAAAACACGGTAGCGACAGTGTAGCGATTCTATGGACACCAGGCGTTAGTCTATTTATATTAAACTATTGAGATTAGAGTTGTTTTTAGTCATGAAATAAAAACCTCTGATGTGTCACGTGATATAACTTGAAGGCAAGCATCTTAACCACAAGTATACAGATTTTTGTTATACAGGACGAAATAAATAAATAGTAAATAATAATGATAATAATAATAATAATAAGAAGAAGAAGAAGAAGAAGAAGAAGAAGAAGAAGAAGGAGAAGGAGAAGGAGAAGGAGAAGAAGAAGAAGAAGAAGAAGAAGAACTACACTTAGGGGGCCTTATGTATAGCGCATAATGCACGAAAAAGCTTCACATCATGAAAATAATAAGTATATAAAATATTGAAACAAAATGAATAACATCGCGTAAGAACATCGATTTGCTACCTAAAAGAAACAATTCAATCATCACTTACTCTTCCAATAAATCGATAATCGATAGGATACACCGATTCAGGATAAATGTTTTCCAGATACCACCGGAACGACTTGCATCCAAGTTCATGACGTAATTCCTTACGTTCTTCTACGTTTCCAAAATCAACCTGTATGACGTAACAAACAGTGATTGGTTGAATTATTTTTACGCAATAAAACAAGTTTTATGTAAATGAGTACGGTAATTTGTCAAATTAGGTCTATCAATAATGACACTATGGAAACAATGTACTAAAATGTAGTTTATAG